TGAAATTATAAATAAAGTTAAAAAAACCCTCATTCCCCTACTTCTAGGCAAAGAGGGTGGGACTGTGAAGGGACACATAAGTTAGGGGTCTCTTTCTACTGCTCCTCACTTGCATTGTCTTGATGCTGACTCATAGGGACCCTATAGGACAGGGTAGAACTGCCCCTGTGGGTTTCTGAGACTGTTACTCTTTACGGGAGGAGAAAGCCAAGTCTTTCTCTTAGAGTTGCTGGTGGTTTTGAACTGTGGATCTTATGGGTATCAGCCCAACATATAACCACTACATTACCAAGGCTCCTTGGGGGGCGCTATGGGTTCCTCAAATGTATTATTTTGTCCCCTTCTGTTGAAGTTATATAGATGTTTGCTTTGCAGGGGCTGATTATCCAACAAGCACAATAACCATCAATTCTGTTTATTTTCTAATCTGTAGTTAACAATTTCACAATGGATAAGTAAACACAAGTAAGTTTGTGCTTATCTTGCTTACATCCTGTTAGAGATTATAAATTTGAAACGAGGCTCTCATTTTGTGAGAAGGTGCTGTGAACTTGGAAGATAGACTGATGCCAGCCATACCTGGAAGCAGAATGTCTAACGTAGTGGAACAATGAGAAATTGTTCACTATAGATTAGTAAGGAAGGACCAGTAAGCTTGTACTTCCCTTGCTGGTGGAAATCTGATGCTGTTGTTTGGTAATTATTCTTGCATCTGTACATAAGTGCTTGAGTACTCATTTTTCTGTTGAATATATCATAGTTATTGAATAACAAAAACCTGCCTTAATCTTTTTGGATTTGCCTTTCATTTGGAAGATGTTAGTGTTCTGGTCTTATGGCTGAGTGCTGACAGAACATACCCTTTTTTGGAAGCAAGTCTTTTTCATTAGACAGGAATACAAATTCCAAAGTCACTACATTACAATGACAGGAGTTGGTTTACAGGTAATGGAAGGAACAGAGGAAATGACATCCACTACAAGCTTGGTTTTCAGGGCAGGTACAGTGGTTGACACATCCTAGGCTCTGGGGTGGGAGTTGGCTGTTGACAACAGTAGATAGCAGCAGGTGCTGCTGGGGCTGACTCAGGCAGGGAGTGGTCCTCCATCTTTTGTCTCAGGAGGAGTTATTTATAATGGTCACCTGGCAGATAAGATGCAGTGTGTTGTGAAAGCTATTTTTCAGCGAGACATTTTCACGCACATCTAATTCTATTTTGAGATGCTCCACTCTGGACTTGCTTCTTCCATCATTTCATAGAGCCTTGGCATGTATGGCCATAGTGTAGGATGGGGCCAACAGATCCTGTCTCATCCTGTGCTAAATTTTATCATCTCGCCAACACTCAATGCAATATGAAATCAGCCTTCAAGACAACCTAGGGTATTTTTTAGGCAAATAGCAGACATTGAGTCAGAGGCTCTTCTAACGTGAAGGGTTCAGAGCAGCATAAAGCCAGGAGGGATTACTGAAGAATCAGTTTGGTCAACCAGCAAGCAGTGTCGCACCTAGTGCCGAAATCCCTCTTGAGCCAAGGAAATGGCTTGTGTGGAGCCCCACCCAGAAGAGGGGTATTTCCTGCTCCCACTCTGAGAAAACTTGGCTTTGTCCTGGTCTTGTTTGTTTATTCAGAGGGGACTTACCTATTTCCTTATAACCAGAAGCAGTTGCCAAGTCTCAGGTGGATGTGAAAAACACTGAAATTCACTGAGGATGTCTGCATTTCTTCAGCTCACAAGGACACGTGGGCTAAGAAGTGAAATACCTGGCTTAGTAGCAACAGCCAAGTGGTCACTTAGAAACCCTTCGTCTAGAGAAATCAGCCCCCTGGTTTCCTTCTGTCTTCACTGACCTTGAAGAAATAATATAATCTTGGTGCTTTCTGATTCCTTACTTGTGAAAGTGTGTCACGGGCATCTCGTCCCGGAAATAAAATGGGGTGAGACTCCTTTGTTGCCCAAACATCCTATATGTGTGTAAAGGTTCTATTTAATCTTTCTCATTACTCGAGTAATGTTTGCTATTCTTACAAAATCTTTCAAACAACAAAATTGCATAAAGTTAAAAAAAATCCCCTGTCCAATCTTAGTGTCCCCAAAACAGACCATTTAACCATTTAATGTTTATACTTGCATCCCTTATGATAGTTTGTGTGTCAGACAAAAAATAAGGTGGGATCCTGTTCTATTAATCAAGGAAATACTATATGCAGTAATTTTTTATGAGATAGATTGACATGAAAGAATAATATTTTATGTGAATGACATATACTTGTGTAGACATAGAGTATATGATTAATTTTTGATGGAATATATGGGAATGAAGTAATAATTGTACATTTTACTTCACATGATCTCTGCCATTATAATTTTTAAAATCTTAAGCATATGTAAATGGATTTCAAAAATTTAATAACATTTTTCATCATCTTTTCAGTCCATTTTCCATGAACTTTTTGAAAGCCCCTTGTATATTTTATAATTATTAAAGAATGTTCAAGAGAAAGTGGAAGGGGCAAAGTGGACACAATGTGGTACTGATTCAAGGTAACTGTCAATGGGAGATTAGGAGAAAGTTGACAAGAAAGAATGTATAAGAGAATAAACAAAAATAAATTGGTAAGGTAAACCCCTCAGGATCAATAATGAGACTAGCCATTCCAGGTGGGTAAGGGTTAGGTGAGGGGAGAAAGGGGGAACCGATCACAATGATCTACATTAACCCCCTCCCTGGTGGACAGACAGCAGAAAAATGGGTGGAGACATCAATCAGTGTAAGACATGAAAAAATAATAATAATTTATAAATTTCAAGGGTCCGTGAGAAAGGGGAAAAATGAGGAGCTGATCCCAAGCACTTAAGTAGAAAGAAAATGTTTGGAAAATGATGACGGCAACAAATGTACAAGTGTGCTTGACACAATGGATGTATGGATGGATTGTGATAAGAGCTGTATGAGCCTCCAATAAAATGATTAAAAATAAATAAATAAATCAGTAAATGAAAAAAAGGGCCCAAAACTCAAAGTAGGCATGGTGTGATTTTCAAAAGTATTTTTTAGGAAATAGAAAAAGACTGATCCTTCGGTTTCTGCTGCCAATTTTTGGTTATGTGAGACATTCAACAACAGGATATTCCGCTCTGTGGTCGAGTGCTTTTTAATGGCTTTGGGTAACAGGGTAAATAGAAGCCGGTTCAGGGGACTGTCCAGAGAGGAAGAAGAGTTAGCTATGCATGGTGTTCAACTGTTTTATAGCTTGAAGATAGTTATAAAACTCTGAAAATAGCCATGAGGTAGTTACATAATCTGTTGTCAGTTTGAGAGGATTAAGACTGAAGGGGTGGAGTGTAGCCTGTCAATCAGGTGGCAGCTTGATGACCTCATTTGGGGGTGTTAAGGAGAAAAACAACTCCTTTGAGGTGGGACACACACTCATTCCCTGGGAGACGGTGCAGGTGACAAGACACATGGAACTATGCTAGTGCCCTGAGCTGAAGGAGCCACATGGAGACCCCTGCAAATGCTGAGATGCTTATAACCCCACAGGACCCACAAGACTTCCTACCCACTGGCCTGTGATCTTCCTGCATTCAGTGTCATTGCTTGTGTTTCGTGAATCTGAAGAAGACTTTATACATTGGTATCAGGCACATGGGTCAATATTAGACTTATGGACTTGATCTGGACTGGGCTGGGATGTTTTCTCAATATTCAATTGCCCTTGTATATAAAGCTCTTTCTTATACATATATGAGTCTCCCTGGATTTGTTTCTCTAGTCTACTGAGACTTACACAAGCCATCAATCTACAGGTTGTCCAGGAATGACACTCTAACAAAAAACAAATGTCTCCTGAAAATTCTGGAATTTTCAAGATAATTTTATCTATAGCTATTATTGCTCTCCCTTCCTGCATTTTCCCAACAATAATGGCTGTCATGTTTACATACCAATCTGCTTTGAGCCTATCCACTTTGCCCATATTTATCACCAGTTCAAGATGCCTCCACCTCACGCCCAACCCACTGTAATGTAGTCGTTCCCATGGACATTCGTTTTTTACGAGACAAATAAATCCCTCTTTCTACAACGTTCACAGGATGAGAACCCAAGTCCTTTACGTGGTGTGCAAGCCCTATGTGATCTGCCCCTTGCTCATCTTTAAGACTGCCACTATGCTAGTCTTTCTTACCACTGAGGCTTTGTATATTTTGTTGGCTCCCTGAAACACCCTTTCTCCATTCTTACAGTCCAGTTTCTCAGATTTCCCCTATGCTTTCCTCCTGGAAGCTAAATTAGGTCACAATTTGTGTTTCTCTTATTTTAAGCTCGTGGTTCTTATCTGACACCCCCTTTCTGTTGAGGCTACATGATGACTATGAGAGATATTTTAAATACAAGCTTCCTACTTTTGTGCAGATTTGAAATCTGTCATAACAAGTAATTTAAAAATATTTTCTCCAGTTCTACAAACTATAAACAAGCTATTACCTGCAAGTACCCTAGATCCTGTTCCCAAATTTTGTATTAAATAGTTTCACTTTCCTTTTCATGATGAATTTACGGATTTTTGTTGAGCAGCCACACCGGAGGCATAAAATGCCAGTGTCTTTAAGTTGCAGGTAAGGTGTTATCTACTGGAAAGTGATCTTAACAACAGATAACATCACAGAAAGATCTGACATTGAATTATTCTCCCTCATTTTTGCCATAGCAACCCCAGTGGTGTAGTGGCTACTAACCAAAAGGTCAGTAGTTTGAAACCGCCAGCCAGCGCCGTGGGAGAAAGGTGAGGCTTTTTAGGTCCACAGGATCCCTAGGAACTCGAATTGACTGAGTGGCAGCGACTTTGGTTTTTCCTACTGTCTCTTCCCTCAAAGGTGCATTGTCCTCCAGTGGTGAAGACCCGACGCTCAGCACATAGAACTTCTGACCTAGTTCCAGTCTGTCACTGGAACGGTTCCATGTTAACCCTTTAAAAAAATCTAGTATAACAGAGGTTCATTTCTAAATTTTTATTTCAGATTTAAAATACAATGGTTTAAAATGTGGAAGGGGAAAGAGATCGGCACGAGTAATACTACTGTTTCTTTTTAAAAAATGAAACTGCTCATCCAAGGACCTTTTCCCCCTCTCCATTGTAAAGGTCATAACTCAGCGACAGTGTCTATACCAGGGGAATCTACAAAGCCAAGAATCGGAACAAAGGCATCTCCTTCTGAAGATTTAATACTGTGACTCATGTCTTTTCTGTTCACATATTTGTGCAGCATGCTGTAGTACTGGTTATTCGGATTGAATTTATATAGTGATGAAATCTGCTGCCAGTCTTTCATGCTGGGGGTGCTGTATTCCTTGGAACGTGAGCATTCAAAGAAACATTTGATATTCTCCTTTGCCAATTCGGTTGCGTGCTCCGTGGCTTGGGTTTTTAGGATCTGCTGCTCCTGCTCCAAGTAGATTTTCCAGAATTTCAATTGCAGAAAACTAACCGGAGATAGGCATCTGGTGACAGCTGTGAAAACCAGAAGGACCGTGATGACAACTGCTATCAAGATCCAGCCCAGCACCTTTAGAAAACATGGCAAAACCACACATTAGTCACATCTTTCATAAGAAAGTGAAAAATCATCAGGTAAGGCTTAAACGTGAACATAAATCTGTCATGATAACAAAAAACAACAGTTTGAGGACTTCACCCTATAAGGTCCTCACAGCGACCTTGCCTGAGTAATTGCTTACCTGGAAAAACAATAACCACAAGCCCACTGCCATGGACGCTGCCTTGTAGTTGGCCCCGAAAGTTTCCCAGGCTAGAATTGCCCCTGCAAGTTTCCCAGGCTGCAATGCATCATGGGAGTAGAAAACCCCATCTTTCTCCTGGGGAGCCGCTGTTGGCTTCAAACTGTGGGCCTTGTTGATAGCAGGCCAACGCGTAACGACTATGCCACCAGTCAGTCATCTGCCATGTCAGATGAAGATCCCAGAAAGCAGTCTGTGACTCTCACAGAACTCAAACCCTGTGGGTTGTCCCTGTCTCCCACAACTTCAATGTTCATCGTAAAGACGCTCCGGGCTTTCTGCCCAGAAGTAGTGGGATTTGTGGCTCGCCAGTCGGACAGACCCATGTTGTTGCAATTTGTTTTTTGCCTTGTGCCGAGCTGGAGAAATACTTTAACCTAAATTCAGTGTATTAGTTATAAAATGGAGCTAAGAATGTTGGGAGACTGAAAAGAAGACGGTTGGCCCAGCGTCGTACCTGGCACAGCATAGGGTGGCTTTCATACTTAAAATTAGTTTTATTTTTATATTCTCCTGTCGTCCTATTAGACAGGCGTAGCCTTCCTCACCCCACTGGTGGGTCTTAAGTACTGATTGGCGCGGTCGGGTAGACATCGGGCTACTAAAGTCCAAGTCCCCACCAGCAGCTCAGGGGTCGAACGTTGGCACTTACGCACCGCTTTGGAAATCCTACAGAGGGTCCCTGTGAGTCAGAACAGACTCGCTGGCAGGGGAATTCGGTTTGGGTTCTTATGCCTGGGAAAAAGATCAAGCGATCGCCCCCCACCCCACCTCACCCTGACCACCCAGCCTCTAGCCTCCTCCCCATCTCTCGCTGCGTCCCTTGGTGAGAGGCTGACCTGAGACTGCGCTTTGAGCATTTTGAGAAGGTCTTGCACCTTGGGGGATCCGGCCTGACCGCAGGGCACCAGCGGCAACTGGGCCTTGCACTCTTCTGAGTCCAGGCACAAGCGCTCCGCGAAGAAGGGGCTCCCGCTGGCCGCGCACTCGTAGAAGGCTCCCCCGAGCAGCGCCACGGCCACCCAGGTGAGCGGCGCGAGCGCGGCGGCCGCGCTCACGTGCGTGCACACCAGGACGCCGCTCAGCCCCGAGCCGCAGCGGGCGCGGGCCCCAGGCGCGCAGCAGCCTGTCAGCAGGCGCCACGTGCGGGCGCTCAGCATGTACCCCAGGAGGAAGAGCGCGAGCGCGGGCACCAGCAAGAAGACCAGGCCGTAGGACAGGTTCCAGGCGGCGCTGCAGGGGCACGCGAACACCACGCTGGAGAAGATGCGCTCCCCGCCCGCCGTCAGTAGGGTCACCAGGCCGTAGCTCAGCGCGCTGTGGTGCTTGAGGAACTGGTCCAGCATCATCTGAAACTTCTCCATGGGCCCCTTCCTCCTGGGCTTCTTGGAGGCGCCAAGATGCTTCTGCCTTACCCCAGCCCTGCGGGTCAAGTGCAGTGGGGTGGGCTGGGGACTGGGGTTTTCTCCGTGCCTGTGAGCAGCAGTCTCAGAAAAGGAAGAAGTTTCCCAGGCCTTCAGGGGGTTTCACTTTCTCATTTCAACCCAACAAGCCTTGGGAAGCGGACTTTTGACCTCCTGGCCACCACCCTTTTGCTGCATTTGCTGACCAAACTGATAGGGAACTGGGGACTTTCCTTAGCTTTCCTGACACAACGCGGCCACTCTGTGAAAGCAATTGTTTGCCTTTACACAACACCAGATTTTCCCCTAAGCCAACCTGGTTCCTCCGCCAACTTGTAGGAAGACCAAATGATTAGGAAAAATTAGGCGCTTACAGGAAACATGCTGCAAGGGTGCATTTCTGGTTTCTCTTTCCTAAACTGAATCACAGCAAAGCCCCGCTCAAGTGCTCGTTCCTCCATGATGTTCCGCTCTCTTCCCAGGACCCCTTTTGAATAGAAGGGTTTGCATAAATTATTCTCGCCTTGTCTTCCCCAGGCCACGCCCTCTCACTCATTGTCATCCCAGAATTTATTGCAGTGAGATCTGACCATTCCCTCTATGTTAAAACACCTCAACCTTGATCAGCACAGAGGGGTGCATGGTTGTCCAAAAACTACTAGGTGAATCAAAATATTCTGAACTGTAGCAACATCTAGCTTCTTTTCTCCTCCCTCAGTTTCGTCAAGGCAGTCTTCCTCTGACCCAACCTGAATAAGCCACACGAGCCTTATTCCGTGTGGCTCCAGAGGGCTCCAGAGGGAGGTGAGGTGTACATGGAAGAATGCCAGTTTCGGGGTCCAATGTGTGCGTGTTCAACATGTTTGCCCCTCTACGGCTCAGTGCCCTCATTTGTAACAACAGGGTAATAGTTCCGGTTTTCCTAGTTGAAATTGAGTGAGCTGAGCAGCACATGAACAGTACCTTCAATGGGTGTGCTGCAGGAGAAAGGGGAGGCTTCCTACGTTCTTAAAGAGTTACAGTCTCTGTGCTACTTACATTATTTGGTGTCAATTTGATTCAAAGTGAAGGGGTGGAGTCTGGCCTGTCAATCAAGATATAGCCTGGCCTGTCATCAAGATATAGCCAGTGAGGCCTCTGTGTGGGCCTGGCTTTTTCCTGAGGCTTCTGGGAACTCTGGTCTTCCTTCCTGGAGGCTCTCTCTTGTCACAACCTGAGAGACTCTCTACTGACAACACACATGGTGCTATGTCTGTTCCCTGGGAACTGAAAGAATCATGTGGCGACCCCTGCCAGCGCTGAGATGCTTACACCAACCCTGGATCCACAAGACTTTCTACCCACTGGCCTGTGATCTTCCTGCATTCAGTGTCATTGCATGTGTTTTATGAGTCTGAAGAGGACTTTATAGATTAGTATCAGACATATGGGCAATTATCTGACTTACAGACTTGATCTGGACTGGGCTGGGATATTTTCTCAATGTGCAATTGTTCTTGTATATAAAGTTCTTTCTTTTACATATATGTGTGTCTATGAATTTGTTTCTCTAGTCTACCTGGACTAACACAGTCTTGGAAACCCACAGGGGCAGTTCCATGCTGTCCTACAGGGGTCACCATGAGTCAGAATTGACTTGATGGCAGTGAATTGCACAACCTGTGTACAGACGTCTTATTAAAGTCTTCCTTAACTGAGGCCTAACTACAGTGCCCCCTTCATGCTTCACTACGCAAGTTCATTTATGCCTGTACATTCCACAAACCAAAAGGAAAGGCCGGCACTCCGCTGGTCCCCAGCCCTATGTCCAAACCAAGGCGTTGCTACCGCTGGCGAATAATTTATCCATTACTGAAGCTCATTATTTGGCATCACTGCCACTTGTATGTACCTCCCACCTATCATCTGTTTTCATTTCCTTCTGTTATTCAGACATTTGCATTGGTCAGTAGTCAAAGATTTTGTTTTCAAATATTTTTTAGTTACAGAAAGCATTATCTTGTCGGTTCTCTTCCCTAGATGGATTGATGCCTTGCTTAACCAATTCATTAATTAGTTCATTCAGTCATTCATTTAATTGCTTAACAAGGATCAAGAATGTGCCAGGTATTCACACTAACAGGACTAACAGGTACCCTGCTATCATTGAGTTTATAGGAGAGTGGAGAAGAGATAGAAAATGAGAGGGAGCAGTTCCAAAGGTAATACACCTCCATACCAGTGGCCATTTTATTGATTCTAACTCACAGCAAGCCCACAAGTTTCAGAGCAGAACTGTGCCTCATAGAATGTCAATGACTGATTTTCAGAAGTACATTGCCAGTCCTTTACAGGCACCTCTGATGCACTCTTATTGCCAGTCTTTTGGTTAACAGCTGAGCAAGTTCGCCATTGGTACCATCCAGAGAATCCAGAATTTTTGCAGAGAATTAACATCAGACGATACGCTAGAGCATGTCTGGAGTAAGCCTTAGTAAGGAGAGAGCCTTCAGACTGAACCCTGAATGACAACGGGGCATTGTAAAGAAGCCTGGGTTTCTGTGGTTGGAACGAGAGTCAGAGTGGTGAAAGCATGGAAGTCAAGAAGAATGGTACCATTTTCTGGGGGACAGAGCTGCAGGTTGGGACCAGACTTAAGGGTTTCATGCTGATGTTAGTTGCCCCCTAATGCATGGTGACCTCATGCATGCAGAGTACAATTGTCCATAAGCTTTTCAAGTTCGTGGCCATTGGGAGCTAGCTAACCAGGCCTGTCTTTCTAGGCACTTCTGAGTGAGTGTGAAACACCAACCTTTCAGCTAATAAGTGAGTGCTACATAGACCAGACCATGTGTTTGGTAAGCCAGCTGCTGAAACTCATGACAGGCAGCTGACATAACTAACTTCCTGTCAGCTTGTGCCTCCAAATAGCACCTCTTGTGTTTTCTGCCAGGACACTGATGGTCCTTCTGAGACCCATTACAGCTTTCTGTGCCTGTGGGTCTGGGTTCTGCTCACCAGCCAAGCTTTATCCCTGAAGGGTATTATGAGTCTAATGCCCTGCCAGTAGCTCCCACCATTTTTGTCCAATAGATGATTCTAATTCTGGGTCTCTTGAAGATTTCCCAGCACTCCACCAACATTGCTTAGAAGTTCAACCCTCAATGGAAACAGAGTAACATACAAATGATGTGGAGACGATTCAGGAATTTTCTCTGAGAGTGAATTAAATGAGAACTTTTTATTATTTTTTTAAAATCTACGATTTGAACCCATTTGCATTAGCTTTTATCAGATGGTTTAGAGCACAGGGGCAGGAAATGAGCAACATTCTCCTGTGAAGGACACTGCGAAACGAATGGTTATGTGTTTTTGTGTTTTTGAACTGCTGCACTTTGTTTTTTAGTACTATAATTATCAGTGTATTAGATTCAGAAACCACAAAAACTCTTTTGAAAAATAAAGTAAAAGAAACTCTTAAAGAGGAAATACAAGTTCACAGTGAATCAGAAAACTTCCTTGCAAGAGTCTTCAGGTAACTAGCTTCCAAACAGGATTCACTGCAGCTTTCCTTGAGAATGGGTTTGACCTTCATTGGAATGTGACTGCTAGCTTCCAGCCAAATGCTGGCTGGCTCCAAGACCCATCAATGAGGGTAAAATCAAGTTACATTAAATATCCTCAAGTATCCACCATGTGTAAGACACAACTTTTGTCAAGATGCCAAAATAGACAAGTTAATTTAGAAAGTCTAACACTACTGATCTTCTGGATAGTGCCGTTCTGCAGGTTAAACCGTATGGATATGTATGGATACATTATTTATATTAATGTACTTGAAAATCTCGACATTTTATTATGATTTTTGAATGTTCACGAGAGCACATCCTAGGGAAGAATAAGGTGGAAGGAGGGAAACGCTCAGACCCTATTGTGAGCATAGGGTTGATCTCATTTGTTCAGTGGCAATTCCAGGGCATCTCAGGTAAGCTTTTTACAGATTACCTGTACTCTCCTTTTCTGAACATGGGTTCTCTAAACTTACCACCAAAGGTTAAGTGTTTACTGATGTATACATTCATTTTCTTTTTTGTGAAGCAGGTGGGGATTTTAGCTAGTTGGTATCACCTTCTTCATCATCTAACCTTAAAGTCCATTGGCAGTTTTGCTTTTTCTTCCTTGACTCTTAAAACCTATATCTGATTGCCTTTTTAGTGAATTAAATTCTATCTTCTCATGGACTCAAAATTATCACTTCAAAGGTGATAACTGTGTGTGACAGAGTTTCCTTATCACTGGCCACCTGCACTTTGTTTCAAGTACCTGTGAGCTCAAATTTGGTTTACTAGTTTATGAACAAAGATTTGGATTTCCAAAGACAACCATAATGAATTACTAATAAGATTAAAGAATACATTAAAGAAAAACATGAATTGGGGGCAGTTTGGTTTTCTCAAATTATAAGTGACACTATTACAAAATCTCAAACTTTTAACTAAACTTGATCTAGAACCTAAACTGATAGGGAAGAGTATCCCTAAAAGAATCTATGGGGTGAGATTTGGTGCATGTTTAAAACATTCACAGTCACCTCAAAAGCTTGCAAGCAGTGATCAGAGATACAATTGGCTTATATTCATTTGGAGGACAGAGGAAGAGGAAAACTCAGTAACACGAGTAAATGGAGTACAGGGTTGGTTGCCTCTGTGAACATCTGCTTCCTTAGCCTAGAGACCAGAAGAACTGGATGGTGCTCAGACCATTACTGATCATTTTGATAAAATATTTTCTAAAGAAGACTTCTGATCAAAAGTGTGGCCCTAATCAGAATTAACTTTTGCAGCAGGTTTTGTAGATGCATGAAATATTTTGCAAGGTTCAAAAATATGGTTTTTAGTGTCAGCTTTCTTTCTTTGAATGCTAAGCTTACACAAGGGCTGCTCCTTGATCCTAGAATCCTAATCACTGTACCTTTGTTACCCAAACTAAAAATCCTCGTTAGGCTTGACT